ATATATATGTATATATATATTTCATTCATTAACATTAAATATATGGTGAGTAGCCCTATTCTTGTGCACTGTCGTTTGGTTTGTTGTTTTTCTGAGGCACAGTCTCCATATATAGTCTAGGCTGGCATTGAACTCACTGTGTAACCCAGGCTGGCCTCAAACTTGGGGTAATCCTCCTGCCTCAGCCTCACAAGTGCTGGAATTACTGGAGTATACCACCACTCCCAGCTAAGACACTGTCATTTTAGATAGCTTTTTTTTTTGTACCAGGGATCGAACTCTGGCCCTTGTGCTTGCAGAGCAAGCGGCGAAACCACTGAGCTAAAAGCTAAATCTGCAGCCCAAAGACACTGCCATTTTAAAAGATGGAACTGAGGGCCCGGGATTTAGCTTAGTGGTTCCACCGCCAGCTTTGCAAGCTCAAGGTCCTGAGTTTGATCCCTGGTGGTACCAAAAAAAAAAAAGAAACTGAGTCTTCTTTTCTTTTTGGAACTGACTGTTTTATATTCAAGTACACAGGCTCTCACCTCCACTAGATATGAGCAAGGAATAAGGTCTACTATTGTATGTAGGAAACCTTCCCCTATACTTTTTTTTTAATGTTTTATACCAGGGATCAAACTTAGGACCTTGTGCTTGTGAGGCAGGCAGTAGAAGGCACTGAGCTAAATCCCTTATACTTTTTTAACTCTAATTTTTTTCATTTAATTTATTTTATGAATAATAAGTAATATAACTAGGGGCTAAACCTCTCATTATCATTAAAGTTTTATGTCTGATAAATGTCTTTTTTTTTTTTTTGGTATCGGGGATCAAACTCAGGCACTTGCACTTACAAGGTAGGCGCCAGAACCACTGAGCTAAATCCCCAGCTCTGGTAAATGTTTCCTTATATATTTTATAGAATCTAATATGCAAATGATACATTTCCATAAGAATATTATAATAGTAAATTACATTGTGTGAACAGTCTAATAAGATTGAATTTTATGACCAGGTAATCTCTAATAGTCTTTGTTTTAGACTTTATCTCAATTTAACCAAATTTTGTTGTTTTAATTTGGCTTCTAAAAGGCCTGTGCTAAAAATATAGTGTAGCAGACAAAAGGTTTTTTATTCAAGAAATAAGATTCTCTCATTTTATCTAAAGCTCATTTAATTTTGAAATTTAGTTTGCTTATACTACACATTCAATATTTGGAGGAGGAACAAATTTAGAAAGTTCAAAAATAATATTGTAGCATTCCAGTGATTTGTTTGTGTTTTCTCTTTGTGGGGCTGGGATCAAATCTAGGACTTTGCACATGTGAGGCAAATCTACCACTATGCTACCCTCAGCACTCTTGATTTGGGTTTTTAATTAATGTTTGTATTTGTTTTTAGGGTGGATCTATTTTATTAATAACAGGTCCTCCTGGATGTGGAAAAACTGCTACTATAAAAATACTGTCAAAGGAATATGGCATACAAGTGCAAGAGTGGATTAATCCTGTTTTACCAGACTTCCAAAAAGACGATTTCAAGGAAATATTTAATTTTGGTAAGGTTTGCTATGAAGATACTGAAAATAGCAAGAGAAACTTGTACCGAATGGAGTGTTCAGGTGAAGCTGGATATGTGCATTTTTCTCCTATTCTGGCCAGTTTCAGAAAGCAGTGATTTCAGAAGACAGCTACTACCTATAGTAGAGGAGAACAGGGTTCTTCCAGGATTAAATTGTAACTTTCATTAGATAACGGGCACATATGTTTCACTATTTCTGGAGGTTAAACAATATGAGATCTTATTTGTCTAAATGTGAATCGGGTCTTAAGGTGTGTTAAAGGAACCAGGCATGGTGGCACACACCTATAGTCCCAGCACTTGGGAAACTGAGGCAGGAAGATTGCTACGAATTTGAGGCCAGCCTGGACCATATAGTTCAAGGCCAAACTACATAGTGAGACCCTGCCTCAGTATGAATGAATGAATAAATGTGTTAAAGGAATTTGGTTCCTAGTAAGATAGTTTAGATTGATAATACCTGCTAGAGTCAAATCAGATCAAAACATAAGGCCAGGTTATCTGCCTTTGGAATTTGTAAAGAAACCTTAATAAAGACAATCATCAGAAAATAATCATAGTAACTTTTTTGTTTTGTTTTTCAGTACCAGGGATCAAACTTGGGACCTTGCACTTGTGAGGCAGGCTGCAGCACCACTGAGCTAAATCCCCAGCCCTTTGTTTTATTTTTTAAGACTAGGTCTTACTATGTAATCCAGGCTGGCCTTGAACTCAAAGTCCTCCTGCATCAGCTGCCTTGGTACTGAGAATACTGTAATATACTGCCACACTCAGCTCTGGCACTTATAATTTTTATTTTTTTAATACTGTAGGTAACTAAATTAGGGATAGCCTAAACTAATTAATTATAAACAAAAGGAATTATGTAGGACAATTTTATTTATTTTATTTTTTAATTTTTTGGCAGCAGGGATCGAACTCAGGACCTTGCACTTGCAAGGCAGGCACAGTGCCACTGAGCTAAATCCCTGGTCCTGGACAATTTTATTTAATTAATTAATTGATTGATTTTTGTGTGTGTGTGTGTGCCAGGGATCAGACTTGGGACCTTGCCTCTGAGAGGCAGGTAGCAGAACCACTGAGCTAAATCCCCGGCCCTGAACAATTTTATTTTAATGTGGTTTATGCATCAAAACTCTCCTCTGGGATTGTTGATATGCTGTATATATTTGGCATGCACATCATTATGCTGATAGTACCCTGTGCTCCTCTACTTTTGAGTGCTTTCTAAATGGTGACATTACTTTTGGCAGTTTTAATCTTTTGTCTTCTACATGAAACATGTCTTCAGAGAACTGTGTCCCTGAGTTGACTGTCATTCTATTTTATTGCTAAACTTTTATTTACCTACAGTGGTTTCTGAAGTCATTTAACTCCATGTTAGATTCATTGGTACAGGAACATTACTATTGTCCATGTTGGCTCTCATCTTTTGAATGAATGTCAGTTTTTGGGGGGAGTTGTTTGGTTTTGGGTTTTTCTTTTTGGTCATTGTTGTTGTTTTGAGATGGGGGGGTCTCCTGCAGTTCATACTGATTTTGAACTCAGTGTGTAGACCAAGCTAGCCTCAAACTCATGGCAATCCTCCTGCCTTAGCCTCTTGAGTGTGGGATTACAGGTGTGCACCATGCCTGACTAAATTTTAAATTTTAACAATTTCACTATTGGAGACTGTTTCAGTATAATATACAATTGTGTGTTACATCGTGTACAATATACATTGTATACCTTGTGTATAAATGATTTGTATATGTATGTACATATACATGTGTATATTATTAATGTGTATATATAATTTGTTGAAAAGGTGGTAAACGTCGTTTCCTTTCAGAGTCAAGTTTCCATACATTTCCATATCAGTCTCAGATAGTAGTGTTTAAAGAATTTCTACTAAGAGCAACAAAGTATAACAAACTACAGATGCTTGGAGATGATCTAAGAACTGATAAGAAGATAATTCTGGTTGAAGTAAGGACAACTTTTAAACTACTGTTGTTGAGTGAAGGGTTGTGGGATGTATTCACTTGTTAACATTAACTGTCTCCATGGATGGGTCGCTATGACAGCAGAACACAAAGGCCCTAAAGTCTTTCAGTAAACTTAGAACAGGTATAGATTAACAAAGTTTAAAATGTAATGGCTAGCCAGGGATTTAGCTCAGTGTTCCACTGCCTTCCTCGAAAGTGCAAGGTCCTGAGTTCAATCCCCGGAATAACAACAACAACAAAAAAATGTAATGGCTTACATATAGAAAAGCAAAAGGAATATTTGAAAAAATTACTTCTTAGTTAAAGTACTGCATCTGGTAAAGTGAGCCCAAGAAATTTAATCCAAAATTTGAGGTTTCCATGCATGTGTGCTACTATTTAAGCTATCAGCTATTTCATATTTCTCTTAATTTCTCTGGATGTTACACTTAAAGTGCATTGGTTAAATTTTTTCCTGTCTTGATGAAGATGAATCTGAAAATAAATACATAAAGGAGTACAATTAATATTTATCCTATATTTTTAACAGGATTTTCCGAACCAGTTTTACCGAGATTCTCATGCATTACATGAAGTTCTAAGGTGGGTATGAGTGAAGCATGTAATATGAAAGTCCACAGGAAGGATTGGACTTCCTGCTCAGTGGCTGCTGGGCTTAGCCTGGGAAGGATCATTAGTGAAATGAGTAAAACTCTACATGTTGTATTAAGTAGCTTGTGCTTCAACATTGCTGTATTTTCTTGTAGGGTGTATGTGCAGATTGGCCGATGTCCTCTTATATTTATAATCTCTGACAGTGTCAATGGAGATAATAATCATAGGTTACTATTTCCCAAAGAAATTCAAGAAGAGTGTTCTATCTTAAACATTAGGTAAGAAACATATCTGCTTAGGGTCAGGCATGGTGGTGCACGCCTGTAATCCCAGCACTCGGGAGGCTGAGGCAGGAGGGTCACTGTGAGTTCGAGACCAGCCTGGGCTACACAGTGAGTTCCAGGTCAGTCTCAACTACATAGTGAGATCCTGTCTCAAAAAACCAAAAAAAAAGAAAGAAAAAAAAAACACAAGAAGAAATGTCTGCTTAGAATGTTCATACACGGTAATATTTTTAAATTAATCATTAACTACATTTCTCTGTTAAACAGTTTCAATCCTGTGGCACCAACAATTATGATGAAATTTCTAAATCGAATTGTAACTATGGAAGCTAATAAGGTAAGTCTGATTAATTTGACTTTTACATCATAGTTACAGAAAGCCCAACTTACACATTATGTATACTGGAGGAGTTGGAGACATAGGTTTTTGTTGTTTTTATTTTTGAGGTTTTTGTTTTGTTTTGTTTTTAAGACAGGGTCTCACTATGTAGTGAGACTGACCTGGAACTCACTATGTAGCTCAGGCTGGTCTCAAACTCACAGCGATCCTCCTGCCTCAGCCTCCCGAGTGCTGGTATTACAGGCATGTGCCACCACACCCGGACTGTTTTTAAGTTTTTTTGACATGTTTTTAGGGTTAAAATTTTTTTTAAACTCATAAGGCGTGTTATTTTATCAAATAGAGGAAATGGTGATTAAAAATATTTAAGCTTGGACCAGGGATTTAGCTCGGTGGAACCGTGCCTACCCCACAAGCACAAGGTCCCAAGTTTGATCCCTGGTATCAAAAAAATTTAACCTCTTTTTACCATTTATTATACTTATCTTTCACATTAAGGTAAATTTGCTCTTTGCTTGGCTTACTGTTCTAAGTTATACCTGTCATCAAGAAATGAAAGCCGGGCGTGATGGTGCATAGCTGGGCATGGTGGTGCACGCCTATAATCCCAGCACTCAGGAGGCTGAGGCAGGAGGTTTGCTGTGAGTTCGAGACCAGCCTGGGCTACTTAGTGAGTTCCAGGTCAGTCTCAACTACATAGTGAGACCCTGCCTCAAAAATAAATAAATAAATAAATAACAAGAAAATGAATACAAGGACAGAGATTTAGCTCAGTGGTTCTGCCACCTGCCTCGCAAGCGCAAGGACCCGAGTTCTATCCCCGGTACCAAAAAAAAACCAAAAAAATTGAGCTTTATGGAAGGAATAACTGGTATGATATACCACAACTATTAAGGATCAGATGAGGTTCAAGTTTTAATTTTCACTCTAAATTTACTATATTTACTCTATAATTTACTATGTTAAAACAACTGAGCCGGGCATGGTGGTGCACACCTGTAATCCCAGCACTCAGGAGACTGTGTGAGGATCGCTGTGAATTCGAGATTGGCCTGGGCTACATAGTGAGTTCCAGGTCAGTCTCAACTACATAGTGAGACCCTGTCTCAAAAACCAAAAAAACAAACAAGAAACCAACTGATTGCAAATAACAACAAACACATATGGATCTATATGTACCTATATATACTAGATGAAAGTACATAAAGTTGTTAAGTGATTAATTCCAGATGGATTTGATTTTGTCTTAAAAGTTTACATGCTCTACTATAAGCATGATAACTGCATATTATAGTTTTAAATGTTCAACATTAAGGAGTAACCAAAACAGTAATCAGTGTACTGTTTTATCACATTTAACTCAAAACTTCTCTTTTAAAAACTGTGCATCTTTACTCCTAGCACTCTGGGAGACTGGGGCACGAGAATTAAGAGTTTGAGCCTAGTCTGTGAAACAGCAATTTAAGGACCAGTCTCAAAATAAAAAGTAAAAAGGGGCTGGGGATGTAGCTCAGGGCAAAAGCTTGGGATTTAATCCTTAGTACTCACCTTCAAGGGGGAAAATAACCAACTTCTGTTTTAATACTAGGTCATTAATTACAAATAGAATTTACTTTTAAAAGTTTCATCATGGGGCTAAGGATGTATGTAGCTCAGTGATAGAGTGCTTGTGTAGCAAGCATGAGTATCTGGGTTCAATCCCAGCACCATTGCCCCTAAGCCCCACAAAAAAAGGTAGGATGTAGTTTTGTATAGACACACATACCTGTAACCTCAGGTACTCACTCCTGGGGCTGAGGCAGGAAGTTTGCAAGTTTGGGGCCGGGTTAGGCAATTTAACAAAAACCTTATCTCAAAAAGGGCTACAGATAAAGTTCAGTGGCAGAGCACCCTAAGTTCAATCTCTAGTACCAGAAAATGGGGGAAAAAAAAAGCTCTCCAAGATGATACTGGTAGGTTTGGGATATCTTAAAGAGAGGACTGATATCTTAAGTCAGTTATATAGGAAAGTATTAGAAATTTCTTAGTAAGTTTTTGAAGTTTATGAAGCTATTTCTTTGCACTTACTGTGAAAATGATGTTTAGACTTTGCTGATAGGACAACGGGTGTCAAATTTTTGTTTTGTTTTGTTTTCTGTACTGGGAATCAAACTCAGGATGTTGTGCTTTTGAGGCAGGCATGGCACCACTGAGCTAAATCCCCGGCCCTGAGACTTTGCTAATAGGGAGGAATGGCTAATCAGACATTTCAGCCACATTTACATGTTCATAATCATGCTGTATTCTTCAGCCTCCAGGGATTATGATTTCAAATTAATTTCCACTTTGGCAGATAATCCATATCTAGAATTAGTAAAAAAAAAAAAAAAAAAAACTACTCGGGGTCAGGGATTTAGCTCAATGGTGCCACCACCTGCCTCTCAAGCACAAGGTCCCCAGTTCAGTCTCTGGTACCAAAAAAAAAAAAAATGATGGGCCAGGGATTTGGCTCAGGGATTCTGCCGCCCACCTCACAAGTGCTAGGGCCTAAATTCAATCCCTGATACCAAACAAAACAAAACCACTCTGAAAACAGTTTCTTATTAAGGTTTTTGTTCTGGTGCTAGGGATGGGGACTGAACCCAGGGGCTCATGCACGCTAAAAGCATATACCTATCACTGAGCTAACCCTTGAAATAATTTTTAATTAAATTTATAATACTAAAATTGAAGTTAGTCTGATGTTAGGCATGGTGATGTACACCTGTAATCCCAGCAGTTGGGAGACCTGAGGCAGGAGGGTGCAAGTTCAGGCCCAGTCTGGGGAACTTAGCGACATAGCGAAAATCTTTCTCAAAATAAAATAAAAAGGGCTGCGAATGTAGCCCAGTGTGAAGGCCTTGCGTGTAGTGGAGGGAAAAAGTAGCAAAAATATTAATTGCCCAATGTAAAATGGTAAATAATATTTAATACTCCTGGAATTTTACTTTAAACCATGCAGTCATCAACATTTACACCATTCAGGGCTGGGGATTTAGCTCATTGGTGCCACCGCCTGCCTCACAAGCACAAGGACCAGAGTTCCATCTCTGGTACCCCCCTCCCCCTGAAAAGAAACCATTTAACACCATTCATAGGCAGGCTGGTGTTTAGCATGGAGGCTTTTTAGCATTCAAACTTGCAAGACTGTACTTTACTTCCGTTTAGTTTAGAAAATAGGTTTTATGGTTTTTGTTTTATATATTTTGTTTGTTTGTTAGTTTTTGGTATGGGGGATCGAACTCAGGACCTTGTACTTGCAAGGCAGGCACAGTGCCACTGAGCTAAATCCCCAGCCCAGTTTTGTATATTTTTGCTTTGTTTTGTTTTGTTTTGTTGGTACCAGGGATCAAACTCAGGTCCTTGCAATTGCGAGGCAGGCAACAGAACCACTGAGCTAAACCCCAGCCCAGTTTTGTGTATTTTTTATGAAAGCAGTTCTTTAAAATTTACTTTTCCCGTTTCAGAATGGAGGAAAAATTATTGTACCTGATAAAACTTCTCTGGAGTTGCTCTGTCAAGGATGTTCTGGTGATATCAGAAGTGCAATAAACAGTCTCCAATTTTCTTCTTCAAAAGGTAACAACAATAGCAGCAGCATTCAGAGCATTGTATAGATGACTGACTTCCTTTCATTATTCATGAAGCAAATCAAATTCTGTGGGGGGGCTACTCAAGATCAAACCCAGGGTCTTGTGTATACTAAGCAAGTGTCCTATCACTAGGCTTTGCTCCTAGTCCAAAATAAACTTTAACTTATAATTGACACCCCCTCCCATTAGTGGTCATCTGTGGTTTGGAAATATTAATGGAACATTTCAGAAATAAATAATTCATAAGTTTTACACTTATGAGTAGTGTAATAAGATCCTTCACAGTCCTACCCAGGAAGTGAATCATCACTAACCCAACATATCCACATTGCACACACTGTATCTCCTGTCTGCCCTGGAGGACATCTTGCTTATCAGATCCCTGCCATGGGATTCCAGTGCCTATGTTCAAGTAACTGTTATTTTACTTGATAATAGCTCCAAAGTACAGAAGTGGTGTCTCTGGCAGTTTGAATATGCCAAAGGGAAACAATGAAGTGCTTCCTTTAAGTGAAAAAGGAAAGGTCATTAATGGGGAAAGAAAAAAATCATAGGCTGAGGCTAAGATCTGTGGTAATGAATCTTCTATCCATAAAATTATAAAGAAGGAAAAAAAATTCATGCTAATTTTGCTACCATATCTCAAACTAAAAAGTTGCTCATGGCCACAGTGTATAATAAGTACTTAGCAAAGATGGAAAACGTATTAGATCTATATATGTATATAAAATATTATTTTCAATATATATGTGTGTATGGTTTGATTTTCTCTTCAGTTTCAGGCATCCATATCCACTGAGGGTCTTGGAATATGCCCCCAGTGCATATGGGGGGGACTACTGTATAGGTGTATAGTTTTTTTGGGGGGTACCAGGGATCAAACTCAGGACCTTGCACTTGTGAGGCAGTCACAGTGCCACTGAGCTAAATCCCCAGCCCAGGTGTACACTTTTTTATGAGCACATGAATATACTGACTTCTATGATTATGTCATAATTTATATTATAGCTGTTTGACACAAAACTTGATTCATTTGCATGGCTTGTTGCTTTACCTTTCTAAGTTTTTGGGGTTCAGACTTACTGGGAAACATCCAGTTAGATGGGCCAGTGGGAGTGACCATCTTTTTGTGCCTCTAATTTCTCACATTTTATGTGAGGACCTACTTGCAGGGCTGTGTGAAAAACAAGTGAGGTAATACTTACAGAGTGCTTATTATAGTGTTTGACACGTGCTAAGGGCTCAAAAGCAGCCAGCCATTAGGTTAACGACATTGTGCTGAGATGTGTTTACTTGTGAACTTTTTCATAGTATTTGTCTTTAACAAATAAATTTATTGTCAAATTTATGTCCCCAAATAATATGTAAAAAGGGTAAATCATCGAGATATAATAAAAGATTGTTCGATTAATAGCAGTGAGTTACATTTTTACTCCAAGGATTGTTACTTACTACATAGTCTTTAGCCAGCTACCTACTTGTTGCTTGCCTTTGAGGAATTCATTTTAAAAGCCATCTGTGGAGCTCTTAGAATTCATCGGAAGTCCTCATGTCCCTGTCCACAGATGTAAACCATTCATTTAGTTTGTGCCTTTGTTTTCCAAAATATCCATAGAGAAATAGGTGGCTTTTAGCACAACTCAAGCCTGCTTATTCCTGTGGAAGAATAATGCAGCTGTTCTTAGGTTCAGTACTGGAATTATGAATTTGAGAGGCTGAAGTGAGCTAGGTTGGGATTCTAACTACAACTGTAACATTATTGCTCTGTGATCAGAAATTTTAAAGGGGAGAAGATAATTTTTGAGTGGATCAGGAATTATGTTAGCAAGTACTTTTTTTCATTTAATTCTCTCATCATCCTATGAGATAGACAATATTATGACTCAAGTCCAGATCCTGTATTCTTACTGCCATTCAAGGCTGCTTTGAAGTCACATGTTCTGAGTTTTGTTTGTTTTGTTTTTTTTGGTACTGGGGATTGAACTCGGGTCCTTACCTTGCAACGCAGGCAGCAGCACTACTAAGCTAAATCCCCAGACCACACGTTCTGAGTTTTAAAAAGAAAACTTACAAATGAAACTTGAACATAGGCTTAAACTTGAAATTGCTGAAATCAGTGGAAAGGTAATATAACATAGTTGTTAAGCATAAATTGCAAGACCAGACTGTGTGGGTGATTAAAATTACTTACTTACTGATGACCTTGAGCCAGTTATTTAAATTCTTTGTATATCAGTTCTTTAACTGTAATAATTACCCCCCCAGAATTGTTACATTCTAGCGTTAAATTAGTTAATATGCATCATGGACTAAGAACAGTAATAGTAGTAATAGATGTACATACCACTGAGAAACCAAAGTGCTGTGACTTACTAGTGTGTCATTTTGTGTGTGAAAATTTCTGTTTTTGCTTGCTTTGCTTTTGTACTAGGGATGTGAGATAATATTAAAACACATTTTATTCCATTTCAATAGTTAGCAACACAGGGCTAGGGATTTAGCTCAGTGGTTTAGTGGCCTGCCTTACAAGCGCAAGGACCCGAGTTCAATCCCCAGTACCAAAAAAAAAAACAGCAACCCAGAGAGGACCCTGACTCAGTTTATCTATTTTATTATTGTTGATTGGAAAAATGTATTTTAATTAGTATATTTAGTGTAACTATCTGAAATGCTCTTAGTTTTTATTTTCATATTTTGACTTTATTTTAAACATTGTCACTTGGATATATTTAGGAGAGAGCAGCTTATGGCCAAGGAAGAAAGGAGTGTCCTTAAAATCAGATGCTGCACTGTCAAAATCAAAGCGGAGGAAAAAACCTGATAAGGTTTTTGAAAATCAAAAGGTCCAAGCTGTTGGTGGCAAAGATGTTTCTCTCTTTCTCTTCAGAGCTTTGGGGAAAATTCTGTATTGTAAAAGTAAGAGAATGTTACATATTTTTCTATATCTGTTGGGTATTAGTCTTACAATAGAAATAAAATTTCACATTTTTAAAATGCCATATACAGAGTCCACCAAAAACATGTATATACGTCAGCAGTTCACCATACTAATAAATGTCTGGAAGCTACTGGCCACCACTCTGTACTTCTCTTGTAATTGCAGAGGCCAAAGTTAACTTGTATTAATCTCATGTCTCAATAAATTTAATATTAAAATATTTATACAAGTTTTTCTTTTCCTGAGGTATACATTTTTTTGGTGGTCTCTCTTTTGCTAAGGAAAGAATTAGGGCTAGGTTATGTACTATTAGGCAAGGCCTAAGACAGCAGGAAAATATATTTGGCTATTTAGAGTATTTTGTAACTATGAGCAATCTCAAATGTAACAAGCTGCAGTAGGCCATATCCTTTCCTGTAAATTATTAAATAAGAAAACAACATCCTTCTGTCTAGACTTTTAGCAGCAAGAAGTGATAGCCTGAACCTCTGTTAACACTGGGCTCCAGCTCTGAGGCCTTACGTAAATTGCCAGGTTTCTTTTGCCTCTCTTTAGTTTTTCTATACTCTACCAATTGCTATCAGTAAAATCCCAAACCTCTGGTTCTTTATATAACATGTCCCAGTTGATAGTCTTATGATCCTGAAGGAAGAATTGGAAATTCCTAAATGGAAACCTTGACACCACTCAGGAAAATGAAACATCCATCTTTTAGTGGCAGTGGTGACCTCCCTTGTTCCTGGATCCTCTCTACCCATCCTCGCGGGCCCTTCTTACCTGATTCTCTTCCTCATCCTCTTTCTCCTCCCCGCTGTGCATTGATAAGCCTTTGTGCAAGAAAGGAGGAGAAATGGAATGTTTTAGGGCTAAAAACCCCATAATCCAAGCTTGAGAATTTTCAACTTAGTTCTAGTAGTACTAAAACAGGTAAGCATCTAATAATTTCGTTGTTTTGTTTTTAATTCTTAACAGTTTAGTATTTTGGCATTACATGTGTGAAGTGTTGAAAATGTTCAAATGAAAGTGCTATATAATTACAAAGATGATATTATCTTTAGTAATTCTAGAAATCTCTTATAGGAGCACCTTTAACAGAATTAGATTCTCCTCGGTTGCCTTCCCATTTGTCAGAGTATGAACGAGATACACTACTTGTTCAGCCTGAGGTAAGGTCCTTATGACTATTTACCAGGCATACTTATATATATTGTGTGTGTATACCTGACCACAGCATGTGGACCAAAATTATTTATATATTTATGCTTCTTTTTGTAGGAAGTAGTGGAAATGTCACACATGCCAGGAGAGTTATTTAATTTATATCTTCACCAAAACTACATAGATTTCTTCGTGGAAGTAGATGATCTTGTGAGAGCCAGTGAATTTCTCAGTTTTGCAGATATCCTTAGTGGTGACTGGAATGTAAGACCCCTTGACTTAAATATTTCTTCAGAATTAAGAAAAAGTTTGCTTTTATCTCTAACTCTTGGACATTATTTTGTGACTCTTCTTAGTTATTCGGCTAAAATATCCAAGCCAGCATTTGTAGTGAATCTTCAGTAGGTTACTTGGGTTTCCTTGAGATAATACAGCGCTTTTTCTAGTTATTTTTAAATTTTAAAACTAATATATACATTAAAATATTTAAAACTTAAAAATTAGGCAAGAACTGTGTATCTTGTACTTTCTGCTGATTTAAAAGATTTTTTAAAAAAATTTGTGTGGACTGGAGGTATAGCTCAGCAGTGAAGCACATGCTTAGTGTGCACAAGGCTCTGAGTCTACTCCCCAGCACCAATGTTTTCGAAACCAAGTCTCTTTGTGTTGCTTAGGGTTTCTCCTGGGCTCCCACACAGTAAGGAATGCAGCCATGCGCTATCCCAGCTACTAATTTTCCTCAGCACCTTAACACTGCTGTGACCACTAACTACATGAGGCTATTTAATCTTAAATTAAAAATTCAGTTCCTCAGTCACATTAGTCACATATTTGCCAGACCTGAGAGCTATATTTAGCTAGTAATTGCTGTAGTGAACAACTCAGGTATAAAACATTTCCATCACTGTAGGAAGTTCTGTTAGACACTTTTAATATGTTAATATGTATTACAAATAGAAGTATTGAAATAACAATATTTAAAATTAGGAAAGTGCCCGTTATTTAGCTCAGTGGTTCTGCCGCCTGCTTTGCAAGCACAAATTCCCGAGTTTGTTCCCCGGTACAAAAAAATAAAATAAAATAAAATTAGGAATGTTACAAAAAAGCTATCATAGAGCATCATTGCTTATTAGTTTCATTTACCTATTTTTTTTGGTACCAGGAATTGAACTTGCCAGGCAGGCACTGTGCTGCTGAGCTACCTCCCCAGCCCTTCCTATATTTTTTCTGTAATTACTTTTCAGGGCTGGGGAGGTAGCTCAGTGGTTCTGCCTCTCAAGCACAAGGACCCGAGTTCAATCCCTAGTACCAAAAAAAAAAAAAAAATCTAATGTAATTACTTTTCAAAAATTTTTGACAGGTAAGGTGGCACACACCTATAATCCCAGCTGCTCAGAGACTAAGGCAGGAGAATTGCAACTTCAAGGCCAACCTGGGCAAATTAGCAAAACCCTGTCTCAAAATATAAAATGAAAAGGGGTGGGGTTGGAGTTACTGCAAAGGCCATGAGTTCAAAAAATAAAATTGTGTTTTCTTTTATTGCTATGTAACATTTGTACATATTTATAAGATGTGTTTTCATTCTTCGGGTATTGATCACCTCACAGTAATTAGTATATTTATCATTTTAAACTTTTGCCATCTCTTTTATCTTTGTATGATTGCTTTTTTTTTGGTACCAGGGATCAAACATGGGACCTTGTACTTGCAAGGCAGGTGGCAATACCACTGAGCTAAATCCCTGGCCCTGTATGATTGCTTTTTTATTTTGAAATTTTTAGTCTATAGATAAGTTGAAAAAGTAGCTCATTAAAAACTTATTTATGCTTTTGCTCACTGGATTATTATATTTTGCCACATTTGCTTAATCTCTTTATGTATTTACACACTTGTTTTCGGCAAATGGCATGACTCTTAATAAGTATGAATAAAGACATATTTCTTTTACAACCAGTATTGCATTATCACACCTGAGTAAATTCATACTAATTTAGTAATGTATTCTCCCTATTCATATTTCTCCAATTACCTCAAAAATTTATTTAAAGTCAGTATTGGGGATTTGGCTCAGTGGTTCTGCTGCCTACCTTGCAAGCACAAGGGCCAGAGTTCGATCCCCGGTACCACCACACACACACACACACACACACACACACACACACACACACACACACACACACACA